CAGCCTCCCACGTAGCTGGGACTATAGGCGCCCACCACAACACTTGGCTATTTTTCTGTTGTTGTTGTAGTTGTCGTTGAACCTACTAGCCCCAGTATATGTGGCTGGCACCCTCACCACTGAGCTGTGGGCACCGATCCTAGTCAAAATTTATGTGAAATCCTAACATAAAAAACATAATAGAAATTATATTAATTACTTTAAGCATTGAGTATTACCTTTTCTATGTTATCTTTTTTTTGATCTTAATATTTTTTTGTCTCTCTCATTTCTTTATTTTTAATTTTTTTTTTTTAAAGTGCCTCAAGCTGTTGCCCTGGGTAGAGTGCTGTAGCATCACAGCTCACAGCAAACTCCAACTCCTAGACTTAAGCGATTCTCTTGTCTCAGCCTCTCAAGTAGCTGGGACCACAGGCACCCGCCACAGTGCCCAACTATTTTTTGGTTGTAGTTGTCATTGTTGTTTGGCAGACCTGGGGTGGATTCGAACCTGCCAGCTCTGGCGTATGTGGCTGGTGCCTTAGCTGCTTGGGCTACAGGCGCCGAGCCTGTCTCTCTCATTTCTAATGAACTTACTTACTTTTTTCCCCATTGGTATCTTAGGTTTCTATTAGAGCTGATTTGTGAAAGTTCTGTATATGTTAAAGCTCTCAACCCATTCCATGATTGTTGATATTTTTCTTAATTTGTTTGCTTTCATAGTTTCTCTTTTTAAAAAATGTACAAACGTTTAAAATTGTTGCAGACTTAAATCTATTGGTCTTCTCATTGTTTCTTTCATTGCTTTGAAGCTTAGAAGTACTTCCCAATCCAGGTGTTAGATGTTAATCTGAATTTTGTCTTTTATTGTGGCTTCATTTTTTACATATAAATTGCTCTGGAATTTGTATAACCTCTTATTCTTTTTTTAGGATGGAAATGGAGTTGTCCGTGGTTACTATTTATCTGTGTTTCTAGAACTCTCAGCTGGTTTACCTGAAACTTCCAAGTAAGAGTTATAATTAAATAACAACTTTAACATGTATTTATATACCTCCCCCTAGCAATTTTTGTTAATTATTGGTATGTCTGTTAAGATGTTCACTAGTGTGGAATCTTTGGCATTGTATGATGGCATAGATTACAGTTCTCAAATTGTTCAGCTTCCTGTCCCTGTACACTTTTTTTTTTTTGAGACAAACTCTGGCTCTGTTGCCCCAGGTAGAGTGGAGTGGCATCATCATTGCTCACTTCAGCCTCAAACTTCTGGGTTCAAGCAGTCCTTCTACCTTAGTCTCCAGTGCTAGGATTATAGGCATAAGCTACACAGGTTCCCGTGTTCCAGCAGTCCCCCTGGTTAGGTGGATTAGTTGTTACTGTTATTTTTGAAAACATTTTCTGTTTTTTTCTTTATTAACAATACCTTTTTGGGGGGCGGTGCCTATGGCTCAAAGGAGTAGGGCGCTGGCCCCATCTGCTGGAGGTGGTGGGCTCAAACCCAGCCCCAGCCAAAAACTGCAAAAAACAAACAAAAAAAACCAATACCTTTTTCTTTTGTACAGAGTCTCATTTTATCACTCTTGGTAGAATGCCGTGGTGTCACACAGCTCACAGCAACCTCCAATTCCTGGTCTTAGCAATTCTCTTGCCTCGGCCTCCTGAGTAGCTGGTACTACAGGCACCCGCTACAATGCCTGGCTATTTTTTTGTTGCAGTTTGACTGGGGCCAGATTTGAACCCGCTACCTTCAGTATATGGAGCCGGTGCCCTACCCACTGAGCAACAGGCGCCATCCTATTAACAATACCTTTTTGATAACTCAGCTTATTTACCAGAGGCTAACCATGTAGGCATAAACATATAATGTGTTTGGCATACACAAAATATACACTCAGACAAAATTTCAATAGGTTTTACTTTAGAACTCTAGCCATGGGATAGTAATACAAACTTCATAAACTATAAGTTTTTTCTCTGAGATTTGTCTTTTATTGTGGCTTAATTTCCACAATTAAAAAGGAAATTGGTTGGGCACAGTGGCTCATGCCTATAATCCCAGCAGTCTGGGAGGCTGATGCAGGTGGATTGCTTGAGCTCAGGAGTTCAAGATCAACCTGAATAAGAGCAAGACTCCATCTCTACTGAAAATAGAAAAACTAGCCAGGCATTATGGCAGGTGCCTATAGTCCCAGCTCCTTAGGAGGCTGAGCCAAGAGGGTTATTCAAGCCCAAGAGTTTGAGGTTGCTTTGAGCTATGGCACCACCATGGCACTCCAGCCTGGGCAACAGACAAAATGAGCCTTTCTCTCCAAACAAAAACAAAAAAAAAGAGTAAGTTTATGATAACATTAGTGGAAGTAAGCTGGAAAAGAGAGCTTGAGAAACCTAACATTTTAACTCTGTAGTGACAAGTAGATCATTTAGCCCCGAATTTCTCTTAATAGCTACAAGTTCAAGTCACACTTCAAGGTTTTATTCAATTACTCACTTCTTCCCATGTTTCAGCACATATATTGGGTTACAATAAAACCATTTTCTTAGATATAGGCTCGCAGCTGTAAGTTGATGATTCGGAGAAAATTCTTAAGAGACTTTCAGATGTAACTTTTCTGTGTTGTAACAGAACCCACAAATTACAAACACAGACAATACAAAGAATTCTGAACACAAAATGCCAGGGCTATTAAACAAATGGGAATCCAAAAGAGGAAAAAAGTGCCACTCCAAATGGTACCTCAAACTGTGTGCCCCAAATGACCCACAGGGGTGGAAGATAAACCCTTCCTAAATAGTGGCCTAATCAAAAATGACATTCCAAATACCTTAAAGGGGTGGAAGATAAACCCTTCCCAAATGGTGGCCTATTCCCCCTATACCCTGGGAAGTGTAAACGAGCTCCAGATTTAAACCAGGTTCCCTAGTTCTGCTGGACCTGTGACTTGCACCCCAGACGGTACTGTCAAACAAATTCAAACAAAATACCCTACCACAGAGTAGAAAGGTCTGAAAACATCCCAAATGAGTGAAATGGGGATGCTGGGTTACAGTCCAGGAAACTCACACAACAGAAGGCCTGGCATCCAGATCCTTTCCAAATCCATTTCCTTCTCCTCACCTCAGTTCAGGTAATGGGGAGCTGTGTCTACTTTGGGGAGACAGAGATGGGAGTTCCCTGGAGCTAAAATATGCCCTGCCAACTGCTGGGACTGTCCCCATAGTCTCTCACCCTGAAAAGAAGCCCCTTCTTCAGTGAAAACCCACAGCTCTGACCCGGGTGCCTCCCTGCTACTTCAGCAGGGTGCCATTCCTTTGGGAAGCAAATGAACCCATCTACGGAAGACTAAAATCTGTTTCTGAAAGTTTGGGTCTTGATCTTGAGGCTGTATCAGAAAGAACAGGTGGTTTTTGAGAAGAAGGAAAGGGATATTTATTACTTTGCCAGCAAAGGAGGAAAAATGGCAGACTGCTCATTTCAAAATACTGATTTTTTTCCTCTAGGTTTGTTCTTAAGTTGAATTTGTATGTAATTTGAAACAGGTACATTTACCTATTACCTGTGATATGCTCCATTTGTGTGAGTTGTATATAAGTCAGATGTTTATAATTCAAGGATTGCCTGTACTTTTAAAATTTATTGGAAACCCCAAAGAATTTTTGCTTTATATGGATTTTATGTATTGTTATTTTCTGAATTAGAAATCACCATTGAGAAAAGTTTTTAAAAATTGTAATTCACGTGTGGCACCTGTGGTTCAGTGAATAGGACGCCGGCCCCATGTATCAAGGGTGGTAGGATTGAACCTGGCCCTGGCCAAATTGCTACAAAAAATAGCTGGGCGTTGCAGCAGGCGCCTGTAGTCCCAGCTACTCAGGAGGTTAAGGCAAGAGAATCACCTAAGCCCAAGAGCTGGAGGTTGCTGTGAGTTGTGATGTCACAGCACTCTACTGAGGGCAACAAAGTGAGGCTCTATTAAAAAAAAAAAATTATAATTCACTTTTAAAATAACTGTAAGTCTTGTGTAGTAACGTAAATAATATTTGTTAATGAAAAGTAACTTTCTGAAACAATAATTTTTGAGAAAACATGTATTGCATTACTTTTTTTTTTTTTGCAGTTTTTGGCTGGGGACAGTTTTGAACCCGCCACTCCCAGTATATGGGGCCTGTGCCCTACTCCTTGAGCCACAGGTGCCACCCTTATTACATTTTTTGAAGTCTCTTTACTGTTTGATTTAAATGTACTTAATTCCTTGCGGTAAGCTATTTTGTTTGAAGTATGTATATAAAATACAGTCATACAGATTCTGAATATCATGTGAAACTTAATTCATGTATCATCAAATTCACCTGTTAAAGATATATAATTCAGTGATTTTTTAGTATAGGCAGTATCCAAGTTACAAACATCCTGCTTATGTGCAACTCACATCTAGGAATGGAGGTTAATACAGTAAGTTCTCGAGTTACAAGCATCTAAGTGATGCACAACTCACACTCACAAATGGAGGCTATTCCAGGTAATATGTAAATGTACCTGTTCCAACTTACATACAATTCAACTTAAGAACAACCTACAGAACCTGTCTTGTTCTGTAGAAGTCCCCTATATATGTATAGGGGACTGCCTATACATAAACAAGAGTTCTATAGCTTTCACTGATACCTAATTTCAGAACAATCATCAGCCCACAGCAAAACCCTGTACTCATTGGCAGTCACTTCCCTTTTCCCCTTTGCTCTAATGCCTTAATACAGGAGTCCTCAAACTTTTTAAACAGGGAGCCAGTTCATTGTCCCTCAGACCGTTGGAGGGCTGGACTGTGGGACCTGGGACGAGTCAGCTGCTAAGCAGGACAGGCAGTGGCGGCAAAAACACCTGGCAGGCCAGATAAATGTCCTAGGTGGGCTGCATGTGGCCAACGGGCTGTAGTTTGAGGATGCTTGCTTAATAAAATATAGATTAGTGGTAACTTTTTTTTTTTGCAGTTTTTGGCTGGGGCTGGGTTTGAACCTGCCACCTCTGGCATATGGGGCTGATGCCCTACTCCTTTGAGCCACAGATGCCGCCCAAATTAGTGGTTACTTTTAAAGCAATTTTAGATAATTATAGATCTTCTTTGATAATACGCCAAAACTGAACAAGTGGTATAGGTTGTTATGTCATTTGCAGTGTGGAATCTCGAACCATATTGTTGAATTTTTAAAATACACTGTTATGTGAAAATCTGTTGGTTTGGTATGGAATGTCTGCTTTCAGTAATTATAGAATAACAACAATGGGATTTACTCTTAGACAACAACACCTGCAAAAGAAATCCCGTGAAACATTTTCTAGAACACTTAGAAGTGTGGTAACAAATGAAAGCAATCTCTGAGAGGTAAGTAACAGACAAATTGGTTCTCTGATTTCTCCAGCTTGTACCCTTGAGAGTTTTCATGTTGCATCACAGGGAGGGGAACTCAGGTGGAATCTGGCAAACTCCTGTAGTTGAGGTGATAGGCTGAGAGTCTAGGAAGAACAACATCGTTGGACAGAATACCAGAGCAGAGAGAGCTGCATGGGGCATCAAGTAGAGTACTGAGGGAGTTTTTGCCTCAGAAGTGGGAAATAGTTAGCTCTAGAATGATCACTGCTCTGGATTCATCTAACAAAAGTGAGACCCAAAAGGATCAAATTTTTCCAAGTAACCTCTGCGTTTTTTTTTTTTTTGAGACAGAGTCTGTGTCACCCTCAGTAGAGTGAATAACTTGCAGGGGAAGAGATTCAGCTTACCACAGCTACTGAGTATAATGCCACTGCTAAAATAACAGACATACAGCTAATAATAAAGTAACAAAGGAGATAAAATGGAATTATAAAACAAATACTTATAGAATGTAGAAGGGAAAAGGTAACAGGGATGGGATAAATACTAAGATTTATTCAATAATCTAAACACTCCAATTAAGAGGCAGAGGTTGTCAGTTGGCCTATAAAAGCAAGATTCAAGTACATAAAGTCTGCAAGAA